AAAAATCTGTTAGTGCAGAGAATTTTATGTAAAGATTTCCTATCTTCACATTCCTGAGAGAAAACCAACATGATTATGGTTTATTGTTTTTTTTTTTTAATAATTGTTGGGGCTCCTGGGTGGCTCAGTGGGTTGAGTCTGACTTCAGCTTGGGTCATGATCTCAGGGTCCTGGGATCAGGCCTCACGTTGGGCTCCCTGCTCAGCGGGGAGTCTGCTTGTCCCTCTTTCTCTGCCCTCCCCCCAGCTTGTACTCTCTCTGTTTCTCTCTCAAATAAGTAAATAAATATTTAAAAAATAATAATTGTTGGAGGGGTACATGGGTGGCTGAGTCAGTTAAGTGTCAGCCTCTTGGTCTTGGCTCAGGTCATGATCTCAGGGTCATGAGATTGGGCTCTCCTGCACTCAGCATGGAGTCTGCTTGAGATTCACTCTCCCTCTCCCTCTGCCCCTCCCATTCATGCTCTTTCAAATAAATGAATAAATCTTTAAAATAAAAAAAAATGATTGTTGGGGCACCTGGGTGTCGCCATGTGTTGATGGTCTGACTCTTAATTTTAGCTCAGGTCATGATCTCATGGTTGTGGGATTGAGTCTCACACTGGGCTCCCCATGTTGGGCTTCATGCTCAGCGCTGAGTCTGCTTGAGATTCTGTCCCTCCCCACTCATTCTCTCTCTCTCTCTCTCTCTCTCTCTCTCTCTCTCTCTCTCTCTCAAATAAATAAATAAATGTTGTATATAATTTGCTAATATTTTATTTATGAATTTTACACTTGTGTTCATAGAAATTGAATGACAATTTCCCTTTCTTGTGCTGTGTGTAATACTAAAACAGCGTATATGCCCCAAATACTTACTGAACCGCTAATGTATGAAAGCACTTTGTAAGTTACAGGAAATGTGTCAGTCCCTACCTCATGGAGCTGAAATTTTAGGCAGGAAACAGAAAATAACTGACTACAAAATGGATCAGACATAACCATGTCTAGGAAAAAGTAGGACAGAGTCAAGATGTCTAAGGAGATCAGGTTATTGAGGATAGGAGTGGCTGAAAAAAAGCTTCCTCTGAAGAATAGCTGCTTTAGTTCAGCTCTATACAAGTTTTCTATTGCTGCATGATAAATTGTCACAAACAGTAGCTAAAAATAATGCGAAGTTATAATCACATAGTTTCTTTTTTTTAAAATGAGACTTTTTTTAAAAAATTTATTTACGATAGTCATACAGAGAGAGAGAGAGGCAGAGACACAGGCAGAGGGAGAAGCAGGCTCCATGCACCGGGAGCCCGACGTGGGACTCGATCCCGGGTCTCCAGGATCGCGCCCTGAGCCAAAGGCAGGCGCCAAACCGCTGCGCCACCCAGGGATCCCAATCACATAGTTTCTATGGGTCAAGGGCCCAAGCACGGGTTACCTGGGTCTTATGGTCAGGATAAAAACAAGGTGTCAGCCAGGGCTACAATCTCACCTGAGGCTTAGAATCTTCTTTCAGCCCATTCAGATTGTTGGCAGAATTGAGTCCATTGTGATTATAAGATTGAAGTCCTAGTTTTCTTGCTGGCTGTCAACCGGGGGCCCATTCTCAGCATCCCAAGGCAGCCCTCAGGGAGCAGCTCCAAGGCGCTCGTACAACATGGCAGTCGTCTCCTTCAAATGCAGTGGGGAATCTCCCCGTGGTCTACTAAGACAAGTCATATGTAAGGTGTCCTACTCTTGGGGTGCCTGGGTGGCTCAGTCAGTTAAGGATCTGCCTTCGGCTCAAGTCACGATCCCAAGGTCCTGGCATTGAGCCCCGTGTCGGGCTCCCTGCTCAGGGAGGAGTCTGCTTCTCCCTCTCCTTCTGCTGCTCTCCCCTACTTGTGCTCTATCTCTGTCAAAATAAATAAATCAAATCTTTTTTAAAAGTTAAGTGACCTAATCAAGAGAGGGACTGTCCCATCATAGTCAAAAGTCCTACCGACATTCAAAGGCAGGAAAGTATTCAGGTCATGCCTGACAGAGGGTAGGAATCCTCGGAGCCATCTTAAATTTGTGCCTACAACAATCTCTGAATAAGTTAGAAAAACCTGGGTGAAGGGTGGGTGGAAGGATGGAAGATGAATGTTTTAGGCAAAAGGAATGGTACTTGCAAAGACTAGTAAGAAAATAGAAAAAGTGTGGTGTGGCTAAAGGAGAGAAAGCAGATGGAGTCTGTAAGGAAGAAGAGCTAGAAAGGAACTTCTTTTAGGAAGTTTGGAGGCTACGCCTGATGTTTATTCTAAGAACAACAGGGAGCCAAGAATGGGGTTTTGGTTTTGCTTCTTTTTTAAAGATTGGAGCCCCCAGATTTTTACTTCCTTTAAGGAGGGTCTGTGTCTTGTTGAACTCTATATCCCCTAATGCCTAAAATAGTGCCTGAAACAGGATAGGCCTTAGCAAGTGTGTTCTGTGATGATTTTTGCCATTTGTCAACTTTCTATTTCTTGGATTCCCCCAGGTTTCATAATCCAGCTGCTCCTGCCTGCCTCTGATCCTTTCATTCGCATCCCTGTTGAAATCCATTCTCTGGGGATCCCTGGGTGGCGCAGCGGTTTGGCGCCTGCCTTTGGCCCAGGGCACGATCCTGAAGACCCAGGATCGAGTCCCACGTCGGGCTCCTGGTGCATGGAGCCTGCTTCTCCCTCTGCTTATGTCTCTGCCTCTCTCTCTCTCTCTGACTATCATAAATAAATAAATAAATAAATAAATAAAAATTAAAGTTTAAAAAAAAAAAGAAATCCATTCTCTGACCCTCTAGCCTCAGCCCCACACTAAATGCTCATATTTGCTTCTTTGATTTATCCTCTAAAAGTAAGAGATGCACTACCATCCTGGACTATAGATTTGCACCCAGACAGAGCTCCCTATCTGAGAAGGAGAAACAGAGCTCCCTGATTACAACTACCTGCCTTCCTGCTAGTCAGTAGGGCCCCTGGGAATTGCTATGATTCACCCGGGAATATTTATAAACTTAGAGATTGCTGTGCTTTTTTAACGCTGGGCCTCAAATACCTTCTACAAGCACCTTATTAGTGGTTACGTCTATTAACCTTCTTGTTTTCTTCTTAGTGAATAAGCTTGTGAGAGGGAAAAAACAGTGAGAGACGAAGGGAAAATCTATACCTTTAAAAATACCTGAGAGACAAACAAATCTCGTGTGTGGACCTTATTTGGATTCTGATCCAAACAATGCATTTTAGAAATGTAAACCAGACAGAGACAGTATGGGATGTAGAAAACTACAGAGCAATACCTCTCATGAATGTGGTTGTAAAAACTATCAACAAAATATTAATCGAGCACAACAATGCACAAAAAGAACAATACACAAGAACCGAGTGGGGCTTATCCCAGGAAAGCAACACTGGCTCAATATTAACAACAAAAAAACCCAACATAATCCACTGTTATAATGTAAAGATGATCATATCAATTGATATAGAATAAAACATTTGGCAAAGTTCAGCATCCATGCAAGAAAAAAAAAACTCTTAGAAAACTAGGAATAGAAGGGAGCTTCCTCAACCTGATAAAGGGCAGCTACCAAACACCTACAGCTAACATCACACTTAATGGTGAAACACCGAATGGTTTCTTCCAAAGATGGGGAACAAGGCAGTAGTAATAGTCTGTGCAATAAGGCAAGCAAAAGAAAAGGCATATAGACTGGAAAGGAAGAAACAAAACTATATTCACAGATGACATGATATAGTAAATTCCAAGAAATCGATCAAAAGCAAAACAAAACAAAACCTTCTTAGAACTAACGATTGAGCCTAGCAAGATCACAAAATACGGGATCAACACATAGAAATCGGGCTATTTCTATCTAATAATGTACAACTAGAAATCAAAATTTTAAGAGGCAGTGGCATTTAAAATAGGACCCCTCTACTATGGCCTGGATCGTGTCACCTGCCCCCTCAAAATTCATATGTTGAAGCCCTAGCCTCTAGCCTCAGAATGGGTCTCTCTTTGGAGACAGAGTCTTTAAAGAGGTCGTTAGAGTGGGGCCTAATCCAATAAGACCAGTGACCTTCCAAGGAGAGGAGAATAGGACACACACACGGATGACACCCTGTGAAAATCAAGGTGTGTATCTATGAGCCAAGGCAAGAGATCGCAGAGGAAATCAAGGACAAACGTCAATCTGGTTGGGAAACTGTGAACGAGACGGAATGGCCATCTTGGCAAACGCGCCGCGCCGGTGGCTCTCAGCATCTATTTCTGACTCCTCTGGTCCCATTTTGCTGCCAGCAGAGCTCAGTGCTGAGGCACCGTCAGTGCAATCGTCTGGGCCGTCAGGGTAGCTGACATCTGGCGAGTGCTTTGCTCTAACAGCTAGTGCGTTAGCAGCACTACGGGTCTCATTTAAGCCTCACGACAGGGCCGCGGACTAGGTCCCGGGTCTCTGACCCCGAGGTCGGGGAACCCAGGGCAGGACAGGAAGGCACCTGTCCCAAGGGAAGCTACCGAGGGGCCCCGGCGGTCCGGCGCTGCTCAGCCGGGCCAGTGCGGTGAGACCAGGGGACGAAGCTGCCCCGCCGCACCGTCCACCCCCGGAGGGGCCCCGCGCCACCCTCCTGCCGCACACGCTCTCCCGGCAGCGCCCGCGGACCCGGGGTCCAGGCCCCCGCGCGGTGTGGCTCCGCGCGTAACCGACTCCCGTGTAGCTCGGGTGAGCGGACCGAAGCGGCAGGAGCGGACGGCTAGACGGGGAGGGGGCTGGAGCGGCGCGCCCAAAGGGTCCTGGACTGATCCCGGGGCTCCGGGCCCCCCACCCCGCCACCGAGTCGGGAGCAAGCGGGTGCGGCGCTGAGCCCGCCAGGCCACGCCCCGTTAGGGCCCCGGCCACGGCAGGCCACGCCCCCACCGGCCCCGCCCCGTTAGGGCCCGCCAGGCCCGCCCCCGCCACGGCCCGGCCACGCCCCCAGCAGGCCACGCCCCGTTAGGGCCCCGCCCGCCCCGCGGGGCATTGTGGGATCTGGCGGTGGGATCTGGCCGCGAGCCCCGCGGCGGACGGCGAGGTGCTCGGTCATGGGCTTCCAGCCGGTAAGACCCTCGCCCTGCCCCGCGTCGGATGCCCCGGCCCAGCTGTGCTGGGCGCTCAGCTCCGAGCGGGGGTTCCGGCCCCGGCCCGCCCCGGGGGGCTGTGCACCCGCCCTGGACGCCCAGTCGGTGACCCCCGGCCCTGGGAGGCTCCGGCGCTGCAGCTGGCGGGCGCCCGCGGGGGGGCTGGTCGTCGGGAGCGGGACAGCCAGACCCCGGCCAGCCCCCGCCAGCGTGACGGCCACGCGGCCTCTCTACCCGCAGGGCCCCGCGCTGCTGGCCTCCCTGGGCGTGGGGCTGCTGACTGTGCTCGGCCTGGCCCTGGGCTCCTACCTGGCCCGGAGGTCCCGCCGGCCGAAGGTCACTCTGCTGGACCCCGATGAGAAGTACCTGCTGCGACTGCTGGACAGGACGGTGAGTCGTCGGGGAGGGCGGCGGGATCGGGCCGTCCCTGGGGTCGGGCGCCCTCCGGGGCTTGGCCGCAGGACCTGCCGGTGAACCGCGTCGTGCCTCCCCCAGACCGTGAGCCACAACACCAAGAGGTTCCGCTTCGCCCTGCCCAGCGCCCACCACGTCCTGGGGCTGCCCGTGGGTAAGGACGCGCGGGCGGCCCCTGTCCCTGGCGATTCCCCCTCCCTCCCCAGCTCTGGACCCGTGAGCGTAGGGTGCCCCGGACATCCCTCGCCCTCCCCATTCTTCCTCCTCCCTGCAGGGCTTGTTTCCACCTCCCCTGGAGCAAACGCTTTCTCTCGCTGCCCAGACCTCGCTCCCCCGCTGCTGCTAAGGCCCTGGCAGTAACTGAGGAGTGTCTCCAGTGACGGGGGCTTGTGAGGGATCAACTGGGGGCCCAAAGGGTCCTCGCTGCCGAGTAGCTCACTGGAACCATGCCAGGAAGCAAGACATCCCTGTCCTCCCAAACCCCCTTGAGTGTTTTGAAAGCTGACGGGAAGCCAGCGGCTCGTGTAGCTCTCCACATGCCCCCAGGCAAACACGTCTACCTGTCTGCCCGGATCGACGGCAGCCTGGTCATCAGGCCGTACACGCCTGTCACGAGTGACGAGGACCTAGGCTACGTGGACCTTGTCATCAAGGTAAGGGAGCACAAAGGAGCCCTCGGGAGCTCCCTGTCCTTCTCCTGCTTTGGTAAACCTCCGAGATTTGCTGATACGGGAGGCACGTGCGCTTGGGGCACATGAAGACGGTTCGTGGACTGGGGAGGCCAGTGCGGGCGCCGTTCCTGCCCCAGCTTCAGGGAGGATCGCCCGGCTGGAGCTCAGAAGGCAGCGACGTTCCACGTAAAGCGCTTTCCGCTCTGTGTCACCAGGTCTACATGAAGGGCGTACACCCCAAATTTCCTGACGGAGGGAAGATGTCTCAGTACCTGAACAGCCTGAAGATTGGGGACGTGGTGGAGTTCCGAGGGCCCAGCGGGCTGCTCACTTACACGGGGAGAGGTAACGCCTCTCCCCTCCCTGAGCCGGACTCGCACTTCCCCAGCGCCCCAGTCCTGGCACAGGGCAGCTGTGCGTGTGCGTGCGTGTGCTCACGGGCAAGGACCAGAGCTGCGCCTCCCTCAGACTAGCACCGGTGTGACGCATATTTCTCAGCTCCGCTAGCCCCAGGGATCGGTTCTCTATCCACCAGAAGTCCCAGCCGTGAGGGCTGTGGAGGTGCCTGCGGCAAACCGGTGCCTCCTGCGGCAAACTCGTCCCTCAGGGATTCGCTTCTCAGACAGAGAGTGTCAGGTGGCCAGAGACCGCTCCTCTCGCCCCTGCCCCTGGGAACCGCTGCGGGCATTAGCAAGCCCCTGGAGCTGCTCTGGGCCACTCGGGAACACAGCCACATCTGGCCCCTTGCCTGGCGCCCTCGCCAGGAAGTGACCCCCTGCCAGAGGCAGCTGATGACTCACCGGGCGGCGGCCCCAAGCTGACGGGTACTTAGCCACATGGGACAGATAGTCCTGGCCCCATTGTCCCTCAAGTGTATTGTTGTCAGGGCTGCTCAACTCAAGCCTCCAGGAAGCTCCAGGATCTGATTTCAGAGCAGCTGAAATTTCAGAGCAGCCTGGGACATATTTTCAGTTTTGTATTTGTTTTCTTATTTCCCTATATTGACTTTTTTCTTCCACCCCTCTCTTCTCTGGACTTTTCAGGGAATTTCAACATTCAGCCCAACAAAAAATCTCCGCCAGAACCCCAAGTGGCGAAGAAACTGGGAATGATTGCCGGCGGAACAGGTGTATGTCCCTTGAGGGGCCGTTCTCTCCCACCATTGTTGATTGTTGCCATGAAAACACCCAAGTGACCCTCAGAAGGTTCGGTAATCACAGCCAAGCTATTAATCAGGGGATTCCTGGCAATGCCTAGACCTCCCAGTATCTGAAAAACAAAATCATAATCAGGTAGAAACAAAAAATTTTTTCTTTTTTTAAAAAATTTTTTTTAACTAATAGAAGGAGAGAAATAAACCAGGTGGGCACTCCCAAGACCTCCAATTGAGTCAATTGAATGACTCTAATAATCTTTAGGCGAGAATAGAGAAGCAGCTAGAAGTAGAGGAGTCGAAAAGGAAGAAAATGAACAAACACTGGATGTTTCTAAAGATCAGACGCTATTCCACTCACTTTATATCCGTACCTATGAAGCAGATGTTAGTTTTTCCCTTTTACAGATGAAAACAGTGGAGGTTCAGAGAGGCGGAATGGTTTCCACAGGGTTAAATAATAATGGCCAGAGGCAGGATTACTATCTAGCTCTGTCCAGTTCCAAAGCCCATGCACTGAACCCATAAGCCCGGTGTTCCAGAACCTTCATTGTTGAATCAGTAAGTAGTCATGTGAGTCCTAGCCTCCAATAGACGTTCAGAGGAAGAGTCTGAGATTGGTTCCTTAGAAGGATCTCAATGGCATGATCTTAGGTGAATAGTGAGCATGACCACAGTTCGCCTATGAAGGTGAGTGTGGGGTCAAGCAATGTCAGTGCTGCAGGACGCACAGGAGGACAGGATTAGGGTGCTAAGGGAAGACGGAGCAGAATGAAGATGAGAGGTTGGTCAGCTAAGGAGCAGGGGCGGGGCAGGGGCTGGGGCCATCCTAGCTCACTGTGGGCTTTTTGCAGGAATCACCCCGATGCTACAGCTGATCCGGGCCATCCTGAAAGACCCTGGAGATCCAACCCAGTGCTCTCTGCTTTTTGCCAACCAGGTTGGTTTACTTATGTCAGGCCTCAGTCTTCAGAGTGGTGGCGGAGGCAGGCTGAGCAATGTGGCCCTGCAGGCAGAGCTGCTCCAGTGCCTGTAGCGGTTTCTGCCCGAGGTTCCTCTGCATGGCACAGGACCCGCTTCTGCCACAAGGAAGACAGCATTGAGCAAAATCCTTCCCTGGCTCCTAAGGGAAAATGAAAAGAGAACAGTTAAGGAACCTAGTTGTAGCTGTCGAAGGTTGCTCCTTGGATTTCCCCTGTTAAATAGTCCATCTTTCTTCCTTCAGAGTATGTAGATAAAGCCTCTTCCCCTGCCCTTCCCCTCATGCTGCCTCTCTAAAAGTCTTGCTTATTCCTAGAACTTTCTATTTCTCTCCGAGTTGGAAGCTCATTACAGCAGAGAACCTTTTCTTCCGTGGGCCTGAAGAGGTTCCTAAGACTTTGCTTCCCCCTTTCAGACCGAAAAGGACTTAATCTTGCGGGAGGACCTGGAGGAGCTGCAGGCCCGATATCCCAATCGCTTCAAGCTCTGGTTCACTCTGGATCACCCCCCAGAAGGTACCCTCCCCATTTCGGGATGTCCCCAAATCAGGGCCTCCCCCCGGGGGTTCTGACTTAAGTGAAACCGATCACCCGTGCCACTGCCAAACTCTCAAGTGTGAGTGCACAGACCTAGTGCTCTCCTGGGCCCCTTCCTTCTGGTCCCTGTTTTCCGGGGGGTGGGGGGGTGGGGACGGCTGTGCAGCTGGAGCTGACTGGGGATTCCCACCTAGCTGCTGCTACCACTCGATGCCTTCTCAGGGGGCTTTACCCAGGATTCACCCCTCCCCACCTTCTCGTATCCTGCCCCCTTGCCAGCGAGAGTCTGGAGTATCTGCCCTCTCCTCTCTTCTCTACTTCAGACTGGGCCTACAGTAAGGGCTTCGTGACTGCTGACATGATCCGGGAGCACCTGCCCGCCCCAGGGGATGACGTGCTGCTGCTGCTCTGTGGGCCACCCCCAATGGTGCAGCTGGCCTGCCATCCCAACTTGGACAAACTGGGCTACTCACAAAAGATGCGATTCACCTACTGAGCATCCTGCTTGAGGTCCTGTTTCCCTGCAGTTATCCTCAGACAGGACTCATGCTATAAGCCCTAGATTCCTTTCCTGACAGTATCAGCCTTTTTGTCTTAACTCTGGAGCCCAAATGTGGATGACACCCGCAGGAACAAAACCCATGTAGCCATGGAAGAGGGCGGAGGCTGAATTGCTCTCTGGAAGCCCCACCCCCACAGCCCTAATCTCCCTGTGATTGAAGGTCCAGCTCAGGCCCATGGAGCAGTTTCTTCCACGGATCAGAAAGACGGAAGCACGTACATTCGTTCCATGGTAGCATCACAGTGTGTGTGTGTGTGTGTGTGTGACGAAAGGAACAATCTGCGTAATGGGTTTTCCTTAATATTTGGTGCTTAACCCAAGCAGATTCTGCACGTGCGAGTGTACATGGAGCAGCCTTACAGACACGGTCTCATAGAGATTGAGGAAGGGAGAAAATGATTTCTTTAGACCCCAGAGAAGGGAATCTGAAATATGTATTTGTGTGTGTGTCTCTCCCTGCCCCTGCCCAGGCTGGAAGGAGACGACTACCCACAGTCTAAGAACGTGCCTGCGGCAGAAACCTCTGGCTATGCAAATAAATGGGGCTCAGGCCCCTGTGTTGTACCTAAGGGGTTGCTGTGTTTGGGGTCCTTATTTCTGAGGCGTTTCATGCCTGGGGATTTTGGGAGGAAGCATTTTCCAGCACAGAATTTCTCCCAGGCCTTCCGGAGAACCTTTGAGCAGTAGTGCCATGTGCTGAAATATGACCTGCCACCCAACTCAGGGATCACCTAACAGCTGCCTCTGCAGAGCCACAAGCTCAGCTTCTCCCTGGAGGCTTTTAAGGATGGGGGAGGAGAACACAAGCTAGAGCAGATGCTTTTGAAACCCAGGTACGATCACAGTGGTCGCTTGGTTTGGCCACCCTTTCCCTTCTTCCTCCTGGTCCTTCCTTCGCCGTACTTGGACTTCAGGGCACCTGGCAAACTAAAGTCTTGTCTTGCTGTTTGGGAGGGAAGCTTTCTCCTTTAACTAGTAACCTGATCTCACCAGCCCCAGCCAGACTTGGTGCCCAGAGAGAGTTGGCCTCCCCCAGGCCCATCCGTCCTGACTGCCCTTGGCCTCTGCTGTGATAATCCGCCCCTTCTCCCAGGGTTGGACTAGGGCAGCTTCCTCAGGTCTTTGTTAGTCCAATTGGGACAGAACAGGAAATCAGTCTCAGGAGGAAGGTTGACATTCTTCTCTGTATGCAACTATGTCTTGCTTTCCCTGGGCCCCAAAAGAAAGGCTTGTGGGACCCACAGAATTCACCCCTCCGCATAGCAGAGTCCTCAGTAAATTCTGTCACTCGTATTCCATCAAACATTTCTTGATCAGCCAGTGTGTGTGTGTGTGCCGCCGTGCTCTGTGAGGCACACGTGGCCACCTCGCCTCCAAAAAGAAAGATCTTGCATAGGATCGTTAGGCTCAAATGGTGAAGCAACCTGACGCACAATTTCCCACCCAAAAGCATTCCTTGTCTTACATGGGTTTCACTCATTCACTCAACAAACATTCAAGAGGACCTGCCACCTGCCAAGCACTGTGCTAGTTCCTGAGGATACAGTTCTTTTTTTTTTTTTTTGGATTTTTTTTAATTTTTATTTATTTATGATAGTCACAGAGAGAGAGAGAGAGGCAGAGACACAGGCAGAGGGAGAAGCAGGCTCCATGCACCGGGAGCCCGATGTGGGATTCGATCCCGGGTCTCCAGGATCACGCCCTGGGCCAAAGGCAGGCGCCAAACCGCTGCGCCACCCAGGGATCCCCTGAGGATACAGTTCTGACCAAGGTAGGTCTTAGCCCTCCCCCCGCCACAAAGAACTCAATCTACAGCAAAGATGGACAAGCGGTAAACAATTATAACACAGCATGCGGTGTGATAGAATAGTATAGTAGACACACGAGGCACAAACGGGACGGGTTTGGAAAAGATTCAGAGCAGGAGGAAGAGAAGAAAAAGAACGTTTTTGAGTTAGCCGGGTAACAGGTGCTGTGCTAGGTACTCTTCTGTATAATTTGATCCTGATGATGATCGCACGAGTCAAAGATCAAGGATTTGCAGGTCTACAGCTGGACGGTGGCTGGCGGAGCAGAATGGGAGCCGGGGATTGGCTCGGGCCACAGCCAAACCCAGAACTGGGCATTGCGATTCCTCGGCTCTTTTAAGCAGAGGATGGCAGGAAGGACAACGCAGCAGAAGGATCAGCGTTCGCCAAAGCCTGGAGGGAATGAAGGAGAAGTTCATATTCGGGGGAACTAGGGGAAGGTCGTTGGGGTCCAAATGCCAGAAGGAACGTAAAGCGCGCGGAGTCCTGAGAGTGGGTAAGAGCCAGCTGATAAGGGCCTTCGGGGTGTCGTGTTAAAGTGACTTAAAAATCCTGGGGACGGAGGCCGTTTCCGAGGGCTTGACGCAGTGGCCAGCTGGCAATGGCCAACCTGACGGCTTCACACCAGGAGCCTGCAGAAATTATCTCATTTAATCCCGGCCAAGATCCAGTGAAATACAAGTTTTTTTTTTTAAGTAATGTCTTCTAAGCGGGCGCTCGGGACTGCGCGGCCTGGCGCCCTGAGGTGCCCCCGGTTTCTTCCCGTCTGTCGGAGGAGATCACGGCCTCGATTCGATGCGTCACGAGCCCGAGGCCACGGCCCGGCCCGGCCCCTGCCCCGAGGCCTCCAGGTGGGCTCCCAGCAGCTCACCGGCTCCTGCCCGCGGCCCCGGGACACTCGCTTCCTTCAGGTCTCCGGGCTGCGAGGTGGCGCCCGGGCGGGGGCGGGCAGCGGGAGGCGGCCTGGGCCTGGGCGCGGCGCGTCGGCGGACGGGCGGCCCCGCAGGCGGCATCACGCGTCGCAGCCCCCGCGCCACCGGCGTGGGTCACAGGCGAAGCGCAGGCGGCCTCCCGGTTCGGGGGGCACAGGCCTGGCCGGGGCTCGGCGGGCCTTCGCTGGGCTCCGCCTCGGTCCCCGAATTCCTTCCCGGCCACGCGCTCCCTCGGGGGCTTGGGATGTGGCCGAGGCCCGGCCTGAGGGGCGGGGCCTGAATTGGGGGCGGGGCCTGCGGCGGGGCGGGGCCTGAATTGGGGCGGTGCGGGGGCGGGGCCTGTCGTGGGGGCGGGGCCACTCGCGGGGCGGGGCCTGCGGCGGGGTGGGACGGGGCGTGCGGCTTGGGACGAGGCCTGGAAAGGGACCGGGCGGGGGCGGGGCCTGCGGCGTGGGACGAGGCCTGGGACGGGGCAGGGGGCGGGGCCTGCCGCGACGCGGGGCGGGGCCTGGGGCGGAGCCTGCCGTGATACGACGCGAGGGCGGGGCCTGCCGCGACGCGACGCGGGGGCCGGGCCTTCGTGAGGGCGGGGCTTGTCGTGGGGGCGGGGCCTGCGGCGGGGTGGGACGGGGCCTGCGGCATGGTACGAGGCCTGGAAAGGGACGGGGCTAGGGCGGGGGGGGGGCCTGCGGCAGGGTGGGACGGGGCCTGTGGCGTGGGACGAGGCCTGGGAAGGGACGGGGCGGGGGCGGGGCCTGCCGCGACGCGGGGCGGGGCCTGCCGTGACGCGACGCGACGCGACGCGACGCGACGCGGGGGCGGGGTCTTGGGGGCGGGGCCTGCGGCGGCCTGGGATTGGGGCTGCGGGAGCGACGCGGGGCGGCGGGGGAGCGCCCGAGAGGCGGTGACGCGGCCGCGGAGGTGACGCCGTGCGGTCGCGCGGCCCTTCCGGCGCGGGGAGGGCGCTGAAGATCCGGGGCCGCTCGGCCGCAGGCCGCCTCCAGCGCCGCGGGATGTAGCGCCGGGGACCGCGGCCCCACAGAGCCCGCCCGCCGGCCGTAAGTTCCCGGGCGGCCGCGGGGTGGGGGGGCGGGGACCCGGGAGCCGCGGGGGTGGGGGGGCCCGGACACCCCGACGCCCCGAGGGTCTCGAGCCCCCGCGGGGCCCTGGGAGCCGGCCGCGCCCCGGGGCTGCTCGGGGACCGGGCGGTAGCACTTCCGGCCCCTCCCGCCGCCTCCGGGCGGCCTCGGCGCGGCTCCGGGGCTGCGGGTCCTGGCGTCGCCGCCCGCCCGTCCCCGCCGCCCGCCCGTCCCCGCCGCGGGGGTGGAGCCCGGAGCCCGGAGCCGGGGCACAGCCGGTCCCAGGGCCGCGCCGAGGCTCCCGACCCCGAGGCTCCGGCGGATCCGGCCGCGGCCGCCTCCCGCCGTCGGAGGCGCGGGGATTAGTGGGCCACCGGCCGCGTTCGGAAGCTAATCCCGAAGCCGGAATGTGAGCAAAATCGGAACTGGGGCGGGGAGGGCGGGGAGGGCGGGGAGGGCGGGATTGCCTCCCGTCGGCAGCCGCACGCCCGGCGTCCCCGTCCCGTTGGGAGACTCGTGGTCTCCGGGGCTTTGGTCTCCAAGAAGATGAAACAGGGGCGCCCCCCCCCCAGCCTGCCGTCGGGCTCCGGGGGGCGGCGAGGCGGTCGCGAGCCCACGGGCCCACGCGCGTCCGGGCGCCGCCGCGACGGGAGGGAGGCCTGCGTGCCGCCTGCTGCCCTCGCCTCCCGGTCCCCCGGGTGCTCCGCGGGTGGGTTGAGAACACGGGGCGGGGGGGGGCAGGGGCTGCTGGGCCAGGTCAGGCCAGGTCGTGCAAGGGCTCACCTGCGGGGCGGCCGCCTCTGTAGCCTCGCAGCCCCCAAATCGATCACCAGGGTGACATCTACGCCCCCACGTAGTGCTTGGCACTTGGGGGTCGGTGTTAAGACCGCGGGTGTGGGGGATCCCTGGGTGGCGCAGCGGTTTGGCGCCTGCCTTTGGCCCAGGGCGCGATCCTGGAGACCCGGGATCGAATCCCACGTCGGGCTCCCGGTGCATGGAGCCTGCTTCTCCCTCTGCCTGTGTCTCTGCACCTCTCTCTCTCTCTCTCTCTATGTCTATCATAAATAGATAAAATAAATAAATCTTAAAAAACAAAACAAAACGCGGGTGTGTTACCCCAAAGGCCTCCAGAAAACCCTACACCTACTCGGAGACGAGAATTTGAAGCCCTTCCGTTCTCAGTGGCCAAGGAATTACAAGATTCCCAAGGGACTTAGAAATAAATGGCCACTCTGCAAGTAGGAAAGAATCACTAGGCTCACCGTTGCTGATGCACAAAGGATACCACCCTAAGTAGGCTTTTAGGCTACCTTCAGTTTCTTAAAGTCTGGCCTCCTTTTATCTGTGAAAGATTCCCTTATGGAAAAGTGGATTATTGACTGTCCTGGGGACTGTTCTTTGGAGCCTGCCTTGCACACTGGATTGGCTTCTGGAATGGCCACCGCTCCCAGTTTCCCTATCAAGATGCCCCCGAAGTCTTCCACAGAACCCTTCTTAGTCATTTCAACTAAAACTGAGCTTTTCTTCTGAATTCCTCCAGCACTTCGTGGCATCTAGTCTTGTAATGATGTTAGTAAAAACAAAAGTCATCGCTCCCTCTTAAAATAGAGGCCAGCGGGCAGCCGGGGTGGCTCAGTGGTTTAGCGCCTGCCTTCAGCCCAGAGCGTGATCCTGGAGACCTTGGATCGAGTCCCACGTGGGGCTTCCTGCATGGAGCCTGCTTCTCCCTCTGCCTGTGTCTCTGCCTCTC